AGGGACCCTTTGCTGTCAGATTGTTGTATTACAATTATTGTTAAAAATAGGGCAGCACAGCCAGACAGTATTCAGCTACCAATATTATGAGGACCAAAGCTCCTTCTAGCTTTACAATTTTTAAAAGGAATGGAAACATACAATGTTTTTCTCATGTTTATGGTACATGATTCATTTATTTGTACTATCCAGAAATATTCGACGCGTGATCTCTTTGCCATAGTAGCCTGTATATTGATGTCGCACAAGGGATTTTCTCATTGAGTTTGGTTTCCTACATCAACAGCTTTCTCATCTACTCCCCAGTCTGACTTTCTTGAAATTCTATGAAATGTATAAACATTGCACACAGCAGTCATCAACCACCTGAGCCCCAGCCCGGATTGATGTGATTGGTTAAAGGAACAGCATCCTTTTCCTGATAGTTTTTTCCACCTTGCTTCTTCTGTGAAAACAGCTTATCCCAGACTGTTTCTGACACTGGTTAAGCACTAACATAAAAGTAAATGTAGTGTGAAGACACTTCTCGTCACGCAAGAATACAGAAGTGTGTGTGATGGGACTGGAACAAATAGGATGCGTTAAAACTCACAAATCTTGTGCAAGTATGCATCTTGCCCCAACATAGCTCACATTCTGCTTATTACAGATGTATTGCAGCAGACACACTGATTTCGTACATTGTATAAATTTGCATGTTGTAGAGATTGAACACACTGGTGTATTCTAAAAAATAAAAAAAAGCAGCATATATTTACTTAAAATGTGATGCTTGCTCAATCTTTTTAAACATAAAAAAATCCTGAGCATGCCACTGCTGCTGAAATTTACCAAATTTCAGCACCAAGTAGATTTTTACGAAACCTTAATACATGATACACAGCTTGTTTTGCATTAATTTTAATATTCAGTCTGAATATATGTATATTTTTGTGGAAGGCTCTTTCATCAACAAGAAACCAGGGCAGTTTTTTCTTTGGGAATATACTTCAAGTGGTCCAGACAAGGCAGAGTGTGTGCTCAGCTTAGGGTCCCCTGGTGATTCTGGCCAGCTCTATGAACAATGCCTCCAGTGTAGTTTTATTGATTGAGTTGGTCCTCTAGTTGCAAAATGTGCAAGTGCTGCTGAGTCACAGGATAATGTCATTCATCCCCGATGAAAATCAGGACCGTCAGTATCACTTCTAAAGCTGGCATTCCCCATTATTACAGTCCTGTGTCCTAACATCTGTCCTCAGTGAAAACTAGCCAGCGCTATATTTAGCCCACCCGTCCAGCTTTATATAGGTCAAGAATCCCATCTACACTTCCACTGCTGCACTTCAAGGCTGTAGCATTCTTGTTGCCTGTGTAGGATCCTATTAGTGTTCTCTGACCACTCCCATTCTACAGGCTACGTACAGCTTTAAGGTGTCCTGAAGGACTCCTAAACTAAATCCTCTGTGGGCCAAATCCAGAGCCAAAAGCAAAATGGTTTTCCAGGTCCTGCTGTGTATTTTTAGTGTCCTACAGTTAAAGAAAAAGCCCTTGTGAGGTGAAAAGCCAGTGGTGTTTTGGTTCATTTCGGTGGCTGTCAGGTGTTTTCCTCTGTGAGGCTTCCCACAGGGAAAGTGCCTGACGGCCACAGAAGTATTGCTGCTTTGAAGTTTTTTGATGAACTTTCCCCACCCACGGGCTGTTAAATTCAGACCTTTGAAAATTTAGTACAATTGTCCTTCCCTCAGCAGCACTCTGTGAATCCTCTCTTCTTTAGGTTCACAAGGCAGCACAAAGAGAGCATTTGCTTGGACACTCTTACTCTTGTAGTTGTCTGTCTTTGTCCATTTGACTGTCTTCAACTTGCCAAGGTCTGCACATATTCATCATCATTATCATGTGCAGAGCTTTACCACTTCCACCGCATTCAGAGCAAAACAAATCTCAGGCTGTATTTACAGACAAAGACAAAACAACTCCTCAGTATTACCTATTGCATCTCCAACTTTTGCACAGGCAACCATATTGCCACCTAAGGCTATTACACCACAGTCTAACTGCTCATTTCACCAAGCAAGAAAATCACAAATAATAACCTGCACCATCTGTTTCTGTCTTCTAACCACCAAAGTGTCCTAATAATAGTGTTTACAGTAATGGGAAAATGTTAATAATGGTAATTGTGAAATAATGGAAAACCACAAACATACAAAGGTGCTCAGGTTTCTGCAACATAGCAGCACATATCCACTGAGCTGGAAATGTTTACTCAAGCCAATCAAACTGGGAAATAATTTTCTTTTCTTGGATGCAAAGTGTGGTGGTTTTATGTATGACTAGTTAGTCTCACAAATCTAAAATTCACAATAATCTAATGGCTTTCTTTTTCATTTTTAAACCCAAATTAGACATTTTCCCTCAAGGATATCTGTGTCTCATTTAATAGAATACGCTCATCCTCATTGTTGGAGTTGTTAGATTTCTTTGGACCACAAACTGCAGCGTGACACACAGTTATGAAAATAGTTAAATTCACGGACAAACTCTCACAAGGTGCTGAGTGTCACTTCATAATTTGCCTGTTCTTGTGTTCCGAATAGCCAGTGTCGTCAATGTTTATGGGGTTAATTGAATTTTCTAGCTTGTGTTTTTTCATCACAAGGATAAACTGGTTACACGTACTGTAGTGTCACAACTCATTGAACCTTGGTAGGAAGTACAAAATGTTCCAGCTGAACAATTTAAAGTGAATAATATAATCTGAAGTTTCTATGAAAATGTCTTTAAAGAAAGAAAGTCGTTTTTCCTGAGAGGGAGTAAATGTATGATTTGTCACACAGTACGAGACTTTTATACAAATGATTTATTGACTCTTGTTTGAGCACTTGCTGTATAGTACAGTGTATATGCACTTAACACATTGCGCTCATACATTAGACGCCTCTTAGACTGGCAGGGTACAGATCAGTTATTTAAAACAAATTACACTGCGTGTTCCTACATTGGAAAATGTGTTTGTAAACTGCAAGAGAGGCTTTCAAAAGAAAATAACTGTTAAATGTAAGGCACTTCCCTGATAACTAATTATTTTTTGAATTGTGCCAAATTCTTAGCAGCCATTTTAAGCACATTATTTTTGTCACTTTAACAAAGCCGTCTGATTAAGTGTTGTCATAAAAGAGATCTTGGGCCAATCAGATTTTTTTTTTTAAAAGAGGAAGATGGGCTCGCAGGCAAAGTACAATCTGCAGATTTGTTTCCTTGCCAGCTCTAACAGACGGAAAGAGATGGGTGGAGGAGGAAGGGGTGTGGGAGGGTGAGGGTAGTGGTAGATGGGCTTCTTTTTCATCCACAGCTCTGCTGAGAACCTTCAAAGTTAATTCGGGGTCAGTTGGTGTGCATGCTAAAAGACTGTGGTTTGCAAAAAAGGAAAAGTTTGTGTCACTGCAGAGCAGACATTCTGTCAGGAAGTTAACGTCTCTGCCCTTTTCCTTGCTCGATTTTAGCAGAATTTGTGCAATAAACCAGCAATGCAGCGATGGAGCTAAATCAAATCACTAAAATGAGCTGCTGAGGAGTTCTTCTCCTCGCAGACAATAATGTATAAAGATTGTATTTGAACAGGTGCTGAGTTTACGTTTGGCCGCAAATCAAAAGAATCACAATACATCTCTCAAAGGCATAAATCAATTATCTTATTCTAACAAAGCATGCCCTGTCTGTTTAAATGGAGGGTTTCATTAGTGGATTGAGGCAGAGCAATCTAAAGAGTAGAGGGCCACTGTAACCCCTAAGGTTTGGATAGAGACGACTATCACCGAATGCGATGCATGTTAATCTCCATTTCCTCGATTATGTGTGGGCCACTGTCGGTACATGCTGTTTGTTCAAAGTCAGGGTGACTTTCTTTTACAGTGCGTCAGTCCTCTGTTGCACAGAGAAACAGGGGGAGAGGGAGAGGTGATGAGGAATGGGGGGAAACAGAAAGATGATCAGAGGAGTAAACACTGAGACAGGTGTCTGGCAAGGGACAATGATTAGATTTATAAACCAAGCAATGTTATTTTCTCTGCTCGGGGACTGCTGCAAGACATTAAGCGCTAACTGAAGCTCCCAGCGTCCCTCTGCAGAGACACTTGTCCCTCCATCTCCCTCCTTGGAATCCCAATCCTCCTCTCCTGTATTCCCTCGCATTCCTCCCTTCCTCTCGTCAGCATCTCTTCATCCTTTTCCCCTTTTCCCACGTGAACAATTAGATTTTTCTCCCTTGTGTTCGTCAAAGATGGATCGGCCTTGGAAGCATCCTTTCTGCTTCCATCATCATCCGTGTGTTTACCCCTCCTCAGTCAGGGGTGTGTCATCCTTCCCCCCTTTGTCTCTCCAAACCACTGGCTGGCACACAACATCCAATATTTTCTCCAGCTGGAGTGGAACTGAGCACATTAGGGATGGGTCTGCTAAGGTGATCAGACTTGCTCGCACGATGCCCAGGGACCATTTTTCTTCATTTGAGACCATCTGTCTTGCTGCCAATACTATAGATTTTCTATCAGCTCCTTAATCATGGCTCCATGATTGGGAACGTGATTGGCTGGGCTCCCTGATATGAAAACTCTAGTATCAATTTCGTGTCTGTCAGGGCACATAGCCCGGGTTATTAGACGGCCATTTGAACAGTTATACGAAATGTTCCTTCCTTCACCCCCATCAACGTCCCGCCGGAGCAGGCTCGGCTTTATTCTGCATGCATGCTCCTCTGCAAAAATCTGTCAGAAAAAGAAATCGCCGCAGTGCAAGCATCTATGTCCTGATTCCAGCTTTGTAACTTCACAACCTGTTCGAAAGCTCGAAAATAAGCTCATTAGGTTTGGAGAGTATGGGGACCCAACTTTGAGATGAATATTTTTCAGGCCCGTGGAGGGATAGCGGCTAGAGGAAAAGATCATTTAAAAAAGGAGAGTTTTTATTCAACAGATTAAATGAAGAGACTAACACTTTATAACTCTCCTCCTGTCTCCCTCCAGGTCATCTGATGGTGTGTGCACAGCAGGAACAGTGGTGGTGAGCCGTCTGAAGATGGGGGAGATGGAGGAAGTTGACGTTGACCACATCACCACCGACATACCGTCACACAAGGTAAAATAGCAGGATGAAGACATGCTCCAGATGCCCAGCGCTAATGCTAGGATTAGACTGGCACTGCTCAAGTCCTCCAATGAGATTAAATAAACTTCAGTAAACCCTAATGGGGATTTAGAGAATGTGTGTGCGTGTAATGTCTGCGAGTACATCTGTGTTGTCTCTCTGTCATATATAGAGGAGATTAAAGGGAGACTGACCAAATTAGCATTCCGACATTCATACACTTGACCCTGTTTGTGTGGGATTGTGTAGCAAGTCCTGCAGCCATCTGACCAAATGGCAGATGCTTCTTGAATGTGGCTTTCTGGCTGCCACCACCCCCGTCTCCACTCTAATCTCATACAATACATACCGCTTAACTCGGCTCTGAAGTGACTCACATAATCAGGGGAGAGAAAGAGGAAGAAAGAGTATTCTCCTTCAGAGTTTGACAGTAAACCAGAGATTGTGCCTTCCGAATGGGGTGCCACCACACCAGAAATGAAGTTGTATGTACTCTGATTAATTAATTAATTTTCTGTGCATTGCTAATGGAGCCATATTTGTTGAACATTTGTCGAGAGTGAGTGTGTGCTGTAGAGCCAGAGTCGGGTATTAAAAGGCAAAGAAGGAGCTTTAACGATGTTTCTGATCTGTAAAAGGAACATTCAGATTTTCTCTCGCCACAGCACAGCTCTGCAAGGCAGCACAGAGACTTGCAGTCCTTGCCTGCTTTTGATTTGCCGCTGTGTGTGTGTTTGTATATGTGTATATGTGTGTGTGTGTGTGTGTGTGTGTGTGTGAATAACTGTCTTATATAATTGACCAAGGGCTTCTACATGGCTGACTGGCTTTCCGTTCTGCCCACCCCTGTTGCTGGTGCAGGGAGGTTCCCTGCTAGGCTCCAGAGTGTCACTGACAATCTGCCCATGTCGCCTTGATGAATGTGTTGCCCTGTGTCTGAGTGTGTGGGTGTGTGTGTGTGGGTGTGTGTTGTCACAGTGCATTTCCCCCTGTGTGTTGTTTCTGTTGTAGAAGATGAGGGGAGGAAAGAGGGAAGGGATATGACAAACATTAGGGAGGGCTCACTTGAGACTCAAGACTCACTTGTGGGGAAGTTGTTGTTCAATTTACCTTAGCCGTGTGCGTGTCTTGCTGCCTGAATATACTGTGTGTGTGTGTGTGTGTGTGTGTGTGTGTGTGTGTGTGTGTGTGTGTGTGTGTGTCACTTGTTTGATCATTCCCATCATAGCTTGAGTGGCTGCTGCTCATGAATATCTCTGACCCCTCAAAAACAGTCAGCTGAAACAAGAAAGAGACTCCAGTCACCTTTGATCTGATCTCTTTACATATTTTAGTCATCAAAGACCCATTGAACACATGCTGTCCGCTGCCTACAATTACAATGGGACTCCTTTCACAGCTGTGGCCCCTGGCTCGTTGTTAATACTTTTCATTATCAGAGGCCTTACTTGTATGCTTACTGAAAATTCCAGATTGTTTCTGTCTGTTTTGTTCAATGGATAATTTTATTTTGGAGTCTGTGTGTGTGGGCATGGGTGTTCGGTTGGGTGTCTATTTTATTCAGGATCAGTTTCTAAGCTAGGAGACGTGATGGATCGTTCCTAGCAGTCATTAAAGTCCTTTTCTGGGGACAGGTTTGGCTGTCTGGCTGTGTTAAATGGTTCATCAGACAGGGCAGAGCTGACATACAGCGAGCAAAAAAAAATTGTTAGTTGTCAGTATTGCTTTGATGAGGAGTCCCAGACTTAATGCATCAAGAGGCATTGACGGTTTTTCAGCATCAAAGGCCTAGCAAAGAAACATGGACATATTTCAGCTTTATGAGGTGCAGAGTGTTCAGACGGGTACAGGGTATAGTTTTCCACCATTTATCAAATTAACGTGACATTTAATACTTAATAACACCCGCAGTATGCTACATTGAAAACAGACATTACAATAACACAGTAAAGCTACAAGAATTTGTTAATTTTTTGAAGCCTTTACAAAACACAAGAGCCAAAGTGGAAAGAATGGGTTCAACAGTGTATTTATCTGCTGCATAAGCCACAATTGTTTGCATGTCCTGTTAACTAGCTTACTCCCAACAATAGTAACTATCACTTACACAGCCAGCTGCACATCATTCACTAACCACATTTGTTTGTGGAGTTACAGGTTAAATAAAACAAAAATCAGTCTCTCCTGTATTATTCACTGTACACAAGCAACAATCATCATTCTGTAGTATAACCAGCACGACAGTGGATACAGTCAACATATGCCATGCTCTATAATGCCAGCAAGGCCTATATGTCATGATAAAATAAGATTAATTGATTGGTGAATTGATATGAATGATATATCTTTACACATCAAGACCTCCAACCCACACACATAAGTTGTATGTACATACCTCTGCATACAACCTATATGCGTCTCCTAAATTAGCGCACCTTCCACTGGATGACAAATTAGCTTGTATGACCATTAACGGTTGCAGTTTTAAACACATCAGTGATGTTATGTTGTGCCAGAACTCCTTGGTTAGGCTTAAATAAGATAATGACAATGTTTGCTACTAAGGTAACGTAATGTGTTTCACTCACATGATATACACTGACGTACTACATTTTAAGGGTGGGAAAAAATCGATACAACATAGTATTGCGATATTTTTTGTGGCAGTATTATATCATCACACAGTGCTAAGTATCGATTTTTTCATTATAAATCATTTATATTACAAATGCAAATTAAACTTAAGGTAGCCCACGAGAATAATATCAATTGCTTCTTCAGTCCACTACATACATTTTGCCACTGCAAAATAATGGTTGAAGTGAGATTAACAGACTGAAAACGTTATCTCTGAAAGAGATGTTGACAAAGTTCTCCTTTGGGGACAAAATTTACAGTTGAAAAAAAATAATAAATTGCAATTTATTTTATGGCAATACTAAGCATATTGCAACATATCTAAAATGGCAATAATATTGTATCGTGACTTAAGGATTGTAATGATATCATATTGTAGATCCTGTGGTGATTCCCACCCCTACTGCGTTTTGTTATTTAAATAACTCTACACTGACTTGTTTTCACAAGGGACATGAACACTGGTCTCCTGTGTGAAAGCCCATATCCTGTTTGACCGATCCACACCAACCACTCCTGTCTCACCCTAAGCAGACTTTCTCACTCTCTATACTACGTTGCCTGACTTCCCCTTTTGCTCACATTTTACTAAATTAAACATCTCTGCCTCACTTTAAACGGAAATATGGGTCTCAATTTCTGCTTGTAAAAACACCATATATGGTTGTATTATGGAGGAGGACAGTCTTCTTTACAAGTTTTCTACTCTTATTTGCATATGTCACATGGAGTGTAGGGCAGTGAGTGTGCATGAGAAGCCAATGGGGGCAGTTGTTTCCAACCATGTTGTTTCTAGTTTGTTTGTTTGTTATATTGCAGCTTTTGTGATTTAAAAATAGCATCAATGACATCAAGATGTCAGTTCAAATGGGATTAATTGCTCAGCCCTAGCTGTTTCTTTATTATCCGATCTTCCACATAAAATGAAAACTTTTGATGATGCTGACTTTTTGCCATGACGTGCAGCTTAAGCCTCAGCCTTTTAGTACAAATTCATGTATGTAACCATCTAGTGCACTTTAAACACCTGTTTTTACAAGATACTTTTGTTAAAACAAGTCAACTGGAAATATTAAAAAGCCAGCGGGAGAAAACATTTTAGACTCTTGCAGCTAAAGTTAGCTTAATCGGCTGATAAAATCTCCTGGTGATAGTTATTATTTCAACTCAAATCAACAGTCGGGGGCCAAAAATAAGAATCTTTCATTTGCCTCTGTCTGAAATCAATGACCTGTTGTTTGAAAAGTAGTAAATCTGTCAACATTTAAACTTTATATGTGCCATCTGAGAGAAAGCATAGCAACAGTAACTAAATGGCTAGACTTTGCAAACAGTCAATTGTGGTTCATTCATCCATGTAAATAAAGTTAACTTGGGTTTGGAAAGTTGTCCTCCTGGAAAATTCCCCAAAATATTTGAATATTACAGAATATGTATGCACAGTAGTGTGAGGGTGGATTTGTTGCTTTATCTCATGATTTCCCCCCCTGATAGGTTCACTGAAAGAACCACATTAAAGGTAATGGGACTGTTGCCAAGTAACACATCGTAATTGAAAGATTAAAACTGTGTGGTTCCCCATCTGTATTAGGTTAAGTGAGGTAATTCCAGAGCACGCACAGAGCACAGGAAACTATTGTTTTGTTAGTATCTCATTTGTTTTGGTAACCTGTGGTTTTCTGTACCAGCGGCAGACTGTACTGCCGGTGTCTCTTTGATGAATGTGTTGCATCTTGTACAGTATGTCAGTGCACAAGAACATTTGAAATGAACTATCAAAGGATGGAACCACAATTTGTTGAGTTGATAAAGACTGAAATGGCACTGGAGGTAATAAATCCCCAACCCACAATCCAGTCAGTAAAGTCCCAGCAGTGTGTTTTCCTTCAGCTGTCACCTGCTGGGACATCACTGATTGCAGCGAAGGCAGATGTGCAACGTGCTTGAAAATTTGAACTAAAAAGAGAGCAGTGCATCAGCAGCTGTTTGCTCTGTGTGGCTCCATATGGGTGTAGTCTTTAAATGTAGTGTTTGTGAGGTGCAAACAACACAGATTGTTTCATTGAAATAAAACGGCAATATTGTAGTAATGCAAACATCAGCCAACACAAATATTACTTCACACATTAAACCATTCATGCATTATGTCTGTAGTTGTTTTTATGATTCAGTCATAATGAGTGCATAATTAGAGTTTCATGTTTCAATTCAGTTAAAAAAAAAAAATCTGATGTTCAAAATCTGTCAGCCACTGAATTCTGCCAGCTCAGATCAAACAGAATTGAACACAATACCTAGAGGAGCTGCAGACTGCAGGGTCGACACTACTGTTACACTGCTTCTGACTGACAGAGCTAACTTGGGATTTTCATACCTAAATTGCTACTGAGCTGCGAGACGAATTATTGGTCACAGGCTACACTTGCATATGGGTGTGGTCATCCCTACTATACCTCATAACTAATAGTCATGATCAAAGCGCATATGGTCCTCAGAAAAATACTATTATTATATTAATTCTCTCTCTGTGTTTCTCTCCCTCTGTTATTTTCCTTTCCAGTGTCCCTTGGTTTGTGAGTCTGCGTCCCATGCCTGCATCGACAGAGAAAATAACCCACTCACAGGGCCAGGTATGAGTCGTACTCTGAACACCTGTAATTTCACCATTCATTGCTGAATAATGTGGCAATCCAAAAAAAAAGAGAAAAGAAAAGACAGAAAAAAGCATTTATCGTCTAATTTTCCTTTCATCCTACTTCTTTATATTTTGTTTCTATTTTGGGATTTTAAAAAGGGTTATTTTTACAGGAAGAAAAATGTACCTTGCAATGGCCTCAAAAGAAGACTTAAAATAATTCACCTAGATGTTACTGTAATCAGGCCAGCTGTTAGTAAATACGGTCAGGGGGACAACATTTTACTGTAAAAGTTGGCCCCACACCCACACCCATGGGGGCGATCTCTATACATTTATATATACTCACTGGCCACTTTATTAGGTACAACTGCTGTTCAACTTCTTGCTAACAGAAATAGCTAACTAGTCATTCACATGGCAGCACCTTAATGCACTGAGGCATGTAGACATGGTCAAGACGACCTGCTGAAGTTCAAACCGAGCATCAGGATGAGGCAGAAAGGTGGTTTAAGTGACTTTGAATGTGTCATGGTTGTTGGTGCCAGACAGGCTGGTCTGAGTTTCAGAGACTGCTGATCTACTGGGATTTTCACACACAACCATCTCTAGGGTTTACAGAAGATGGTCCTAGAAAGAGAAAATATCCAGTGAGCAGCAGTTCTCTGGGTGAAAATGTCTTGTTGATGCCAGAGGTCAGAGGAGAATGGCCAGACTGGTTCAAGATGATAGAAAGGCAACAGTAACTCAAATAACCACTCATTACAACCAAGGTCTGCAGAAGACCATCTCTGAACCACCAACACGTTGAACCTTGAAGCAGATGGGCTACAGCAGCAGAAGACCACACCGGGTGCCACTCCTGTCAGCTAACAACAGGAAACTGAGGCTACAATTCACACAGGCTCACCAAAACTGGACAACAGAAGATTGGAAAAACGTTGTCTGGTCCGATGAGTCTGGATTTCTGCTGCCAATTTCAGATGGTAGGGTCAGAATTTGGTGTAAACAACATGAAAGCATGGATCCATCCTGCCTTGTATCAACGGTTCAGGCTGGTGGTGGTGGTGTAATGGTGTGGGGATATTTTCTTGGCACACTTTGGGCCCCTTAGTACCAACTGAGCATGGTTTAAACACCACAGCCTACCTGAGTATTGTT